ACAAAAAACCCTTAAATTATAATTTTATGAGAAATTATCGTTCAGTTCACCCAACAGTAGTAGCTCTTTGTCTATGAAATAATCCATTGAAATATATATATATTATATATATATATATATATATATAAAATTAAAGTCAGATCAGAGCGGAAAAGGCGTTTTCAATCGCAAWCACCAGTTAATGACTTTGGCTTTCATAGAGAGAGAGAGAGAGAGAGAGAGAGAGAGAGAGAGAGAGAGAGAGAGRCAAAACACTTAATAATAATGATTTTTTATATATATATTTAGTATAAATTTTTTTTGTTATACTGTAGTATATTTCAAGTTTTATAGTTTATATATATTATATATATAAAAAAATTGTCCCAAAAAAATTTGATGCCAAACAAATAGCAACACACACAACAAAATAGCACACAATTTATAATAATAATAATAAAAACAATGTCATAGCCGTATCAATGATATAAWATATAACAATGTTTTTACTGATATTTGTMAATATATTTTTGTTTAGTTATTATTATTATTATTAGTAGTTATTATTAACATATAACTAATGACCCAATAATTGATATCCGAAATAAATCTATAATAAATATTATTGTGGTTTTTTGGTGTTGTTGTTATCAAAAATAATAAATATTTTTTTATTACATATAACTAGTTGTGTGTTAAATCTATATTAATAGTATTAAAAGCCGAAATATAATTATCTAATTTTTCTCWATATAATATAAAAATCTTATTTTTAAAAAATAAAATGTATATTAACTATGGATGTGTATAAAAATAAGTTATTTTTTAAGTGGATATCCACACACACACACACACAGTAGTGGATTACACTTTATATATTTTTTTGATGGGCACCGGAGGCTATGGCTATGCTGCTGGTAGTGTCGCTCCTAAATACACTTATATCATACYATACCATACCATCCATACCATAGATATATACAATATATRTGTAGCCCTAGTATGCGATGATTTAATAGCCTATAGGGCTAATACACATTTTACTCAAACAAAAAACAGTAGTTGATGTGTGTGTGTGTGTGTTTGTATGTATAGCTAGCTTAGGTAGCTAACTAACTAACTAACTAACTAACAAATACGTAACCCTGGTGTGTTGTAGTGTGTATGTATGTGTGAGTGTGTAATAATAGTTGCCAAATATAAAAAAGCAAAAGTCAAAGAATGTGCTACTCGTCCCTTAAAATTATATACCTTTCCCCTATAACACCACACACAGTAGTAGTAGTAGTAGTAGTAGTAGTACTGTATATATATGAATGCCTTTAGGGGTTACGCAATGAAATATATTTAATACACTTWACTAACTATACAGTGGAAAAAAAWGATAGCAAATGAAAGATTCAAGTGTTATATATATATATACTGTATATCTATATATATAAGATATAAGGCTTTGTTGTGAATGCATGGGAAACGATAGCAAAATATATATATATATATATAAAATAAAATGACAGCACAGGTATGACAATTGGTGTGTTTGAAATTGCGACGACCATTACTACTACCAGTAGTAGTAGTAGTAGTAGTAGTAGTAGTAGTGATTGTATGTCCCCTTTATATATATATATATATATTAGGGTAGAGTTCATTATTTTTTTARACTATTAAAATACTGTACAATAAAAATAAAATAAAACCTCTATTAATATACAGACAACAAGTTTTAAAAAAAAATATTTATATAATATGTGAAGTCTTTTTATTATCAAACAAAAAATATAATGAAAATTATTTTATTTTTTAAATTTTTTTTTTTATTTCAAATGAAGAAACACATAACAATTCAATTCATTATTATTATTATATTATGTGTTTGAATATAAAGAAAGAAAATATAAAGCATTCAATAGTTGCATAACTTTAAGACACTTTTATTGTGTATTAAGATTATTATTATTATTATTTGTGGCTATTATTATTTACTACTACTACTATTATTATTATTATTATTATTATTATTACTAATTAATTAATTATTAAATAAACACTTAAATTACATATAATTTATATTATTATTTGTGGCTATTATTATTTACTACTACTACTAACTAACTAAATAAACACTTAAATTACATATAATTTATAACCAGATTATTAATAATAAAATTTTATTTATTATTAAGAGATTCGTATTGTTTTGACAAAAAATAAATAAATAAAAAGATATTTTTGAACACATGTTATATATATATCTACTGTATATATTAAAAATATATTGTAATTATAATAAATTTCATATATATATAGTGTATAATAATTTCTTTTGTATTAAAATATATTCAAAACAATTTTTTTTCTCTAACCATAAAGTAATTATGTATTCAAGTATTATCATATSATCTCTTATATATATATATTTAATTATTAAATTATCTTTTAATATAATTTATTTTCATTTTTAAAAAAAACTTTCCCTATTGTCCGAAATTATGTTTTATTTTTGTTTGCATAACTATTATATATAYATATATATTGTATTTACATATTTATATAGATATATATATAATGTATAAAACTATGTGTAAATTATGTGTGCTATTTAACCGCTATTTTCTAACAATTTAKTCACTATATATTATACAYTTTTATATACACAATATTATATTATAAAAGTAAAAAATAWAAAATAAATTATTGTTGAAAATGAGAAAGAAGAAGAAAAAATATAAATAAATTCACGCAAAATAACATTTAAATTACAATTATTTTTAAAAAAATAATAATATATAATTTACTAAAACAATTATAACATTATGACAAYAATAATAATTATAATATGTATGTGATTTGAAAATTAGATTATATAATAGAGAGAGAGAGAGARAGAGAGAGCGAATAATATATATAAATATTATATTAATATATATAAGATATATATATGTCGAGGTTTAGCCTTTTTTGAGATCATAATAATTTAATTAATTAAAAAAAATAATAATAATAATTCAAAAGTGATTCATATTTTGAAAAAATCAAAAATAAATAAATATTWYWTAAAAAATAATCAGTAGTCAAGATATACAAGTGTAGTAGTAGTAGTAGTAGTAATTAGTGGTACCGTTAAGAGAGAGAGAGAGAGAGAGAGAGAGAGAGAGAGAGAGAGAGAGAGAGAGAGAGAGAGGGAAAGGGATAACATTCATTACAATTGCAATTTTATAATTGTTTTGACAAAACAATTGCATCAAATCTCTACTATACTATTAACTAACTAACTAACTAACTGTACATTAAAAAAATTGTTGGCCTTAAAATATAATGAAATTATATACAGAAATATATTTATATACTGTATATATACACACACTGTATATATCATTATATATTTTAATTAATGTTTATTTATGATATACAGTATTTAAAATAAAGGGTTGCCTTTTATAACAATATATATATATATATATATATATATATATATATAAACACTTGTCGTTTGTTTAGCCATATAATCGACAAATTGAGTTCACTATTAATAATAATGTTTTTTTTATCTTTTCCCATACATTCCTCTCTCTCTCTCTCTCTCTCTCTCTCTCTCTCTCTCTCTCTCTCTCTCTCTCTCTCTCTCTCTCTCTCTCTCTCTCTCTCTCTCTCTGTAAAAATAATATTAGCTTCTATGGAGATAATCGTTGTCCAAACAATTAAAAATTATTTCTGGAAATATAACTCTCATTTGTGTTGTGTTTTTATATTATTATTATTAGTAGTAGTAATAGTAGTAAACTCTGGACTCTTATAATCGTAACAATCAAAACAAAATTAAAGTCCCAAATATTCACTGAAAAAAAAACAAATAACACTGAATCCTAAATATGTGAACTAAAAATAAAATAAAATGTTTTCATTATTCTAATTATTATTATGTAAAATATAAAACTCTTTAATTTTATACACACAGAGAATATATATATATAAATGAGAGAGAGAGAGAGAGAGAGAGAGAGAGAGAGAAATGCAAATAAAATAACTTTACTAATGAAATAAAAAACTACAATAAAAAACAATAATCTAATAATAATAATAACAATAAAAAAAATATTTATGATTTTATGCTATGATTTAAATGTCTTCATATACTTTATATATATATAAACAACAAATTGTTTGTAAACTTTATTTTTCTTTTTAGTTTCGTCTCTCATTTGGTGKAGAAAAACATTTAAAGGGACTCAACATAACCTAACCTAACATAACAAATAATAATATACAGTATATCTTAACATAACAACAACAACAGAAAATCACAACAAAAGCTATTTCACAGACCAATTGTCATACGGGAAGTCATACTTTATATCCCCCACCCAATCCAACCCCACCCCACTATCCACGCTTAAATACCCCTTCCCTTTAAAGCACACTCCGATATATGCCTCTCTCTCTCTCTCCCCTTAAAGCTCACAGATATACATAAGAGAGAGAGAGAGAGAGAGACAACGCCTTCTTTCTGAACCATACTATTCATTGCCATAGAGTTTCTGCTATTATAACAGCTGTTCAGCAAAAAAAAATTAAAAGGTCAGCACTGGTAGGAAATTGTAGGAAAGAGAGAGAGAGAGAGAGACGGAAAAATCAATGGAAATAGAAAGACAGGAAATGGGATGAGGGGTCGATCACAAAGCAGATGGTCCTAACATACAGTATAACAGGGGATATACCAGTCCTTYAAATCTCTTTCTATCGGATACGGGATGGGACTGGTGTTTGAACARCACTGGCATTAGAGAGARAGAGAGAGATAGAGGACGTCCGTCAAAGACATCTGAGTCTCTCTCTCTCTCTCTCTCTCTYTCTCTCWCTCTCTCTCTCTTTGCTTCGAGAGTCCAATACTGGTATAAATGTCTTCAAACATTTGTAACTTTATATATACAGTACACACAGTATAAGTGACGTGAGAGCCGACGACACCATAAAAAACAGAAGTAAAAGGTTATGATTTTATTGTTTGTTTCTTCTCTCTCTCAAGAGCTCATCCCATGTCAACACCAATTCAATAATAATAATACTAATAATAAAAAAATCTCTGCGAAAAATATATTGCGTTTCGTAATAATTACTACAATAATAATAATAAACTACAAGAAAGTCAATTAAGTCTCTCTCTCTCTCTCTCTCTCTCTCTTAAGTTAATGAAGAAATTTTCAATTTTAATTGTCAGTTAGGAAATAGTTGTGCAAATAAATGGCTCTCTCTCTCTCTCTCTCTCTCTCTGTCACATGAGATCTGTCCGTCCAGTCATGCGATACATCCAAGTAGTCATCATCATYGGAGTGGTGATGGGGTCGCGCACCGGCAGTCTATCCTCCCATTTTGGAAATAAAACACACATATAAMATACCGACACCACATACCCCAACCTATCTATCTATATGACTGTCTGTCTGTCTCTGGTATTATTAGTTGTCTCTGTTGTCTATCAATCCCGGATTCATTTTACTATTGCTTATATATACAGTATATACAGTATATATAGTAAATAATAATAATAATACAGTAGTGTCTGTAGTATATCAGTGATGAATATGATTTGATATATAATAATACTGACAATTCATAAACTTAAAAATATTTTAGACAATTTTTTTGTGTTGTTATCATAAATATCTTATGTAATCATATATTGAATTATATGATACACAAAACTATTTTTGAGATAAAGAAAAACAATTTTGTTGTTTTTTTATATTATAAATATTTTTATTTTCAATTATTGTATATCAGTCTCTCTCTCTCTCTATATATATATATATATATATATATATATATCCTATCCCTCACAGTTTGAAGTCAATCAAAATATTTTTAMAAAAAAAATGTTAAATTCATTAATCAATTTAGCAATGATTGAGTATATATAAACTATCTATAAGACTATATATGTAAATAAAATAATCACTTTTACGACTACAACAACAACAACAAGTTTGTTGTATTATATATCATATATACTAATATAGTAAATGATATAATAAAATGYTTTTCCCATATAAATAGATATTATTATTATTATTAGTTTTAAGCGTTTTTTTATTAGTCCCTTCAAAACATTTCATTCATACATATCTATTGATTCATTCATTCAATTTATTTCAATCATTAGTTGTATAATACATATTCAAAATAAATATATATATATTGTGAATAATTTCAATGCTTTTTAATACAAATTAGGAGAAGACAAATGTGATTTGCAAATGTATTTAAGTTATGTATAAATTTATATATATATATAGCCTTCAAAAAAACGCGTTGAAAATAAAAAACATTTTTAACTCCAATGTTAATGTGTTTAAAAACTTAAAATATATTTTAAATATTCAATTGATATATAAGGAGTTGATWTCATTGGAGAAGTATATTATTAACTAATAGTTAAATAAAAAAAAAGTTAAGGCAATAATAATGTAGTGAATAATAATAATAATAATATATATATTTTAAAATATAACTTTCACTACCAGTTAATGATCACTCAATTGGGATGMGATTTGATATATATATATATATATATATATATAAGACATACACTTCAGGCAATATGTGAAATCAAATACATATACAAAACATAAAATATTTATCAATTATTAGGCGATAGTTTAGCACCGGATTAACTGCTAAAATATGATATTACTGTTAAAGTATTATATAAACTACTAATATAATGATAGAGAGTAATCATCAATAGAGAGAAAGAGAGAGAGAGAGAGAGAGCCGATAACTAACAATTTGTTGAAATATTTTTAACGTATTTATTTTCATTAATAAATAAATAAATTTACTGTTTAAATAGCAATAAAGCAATATTCAAACAATTATAAATCAATTATCTATTTAAAAATTTGTTTGAAATAATAAATATTTGAATGAAAAAATTAATTTTAAGCACATATAGTAAAAGCGTTATTAAAAAACACTATTAGATATGTTATTATATATTGAATATCATATCATACAGACATTTACTGTATATAAACAAAAATTTATATCAAATAAAATTTTGTATATTTTATGTACAAATCTTTTGTTTGTTTGTTTGTTTTCAACCAAAACAAAAAAAGTTTTAAAAAGTAAAACAAAAAAAACTTTTTGTTTTCTATCACTTTATTTTGTAAAAGTTTTTTGTTTTGAGACATTCATTATATGTATAAATATTATATATATATATATATATATATATAGGGATTGGATTGTCTGTCAGTCGCAACACATCAATGAGTTTTTAAAAAATAAATATATATTTAAAGTTATTTTTTTTGGTTGTGTTTTAGTTTAGTTTAACAAATATTATATATGTATATATAATATATATATAAATCTTWTTGCTTTAAATAATTTTATTTTATTTGGWTTGTTAGTTAGTATAATATATGTAATATATATATATATATTTTCTATAAACAGGTATAAAGTTTAAGTTAAATAACAAACAAACAAAAAACAAAAAACTAAACATTGGATTAT